AAAATTAAGCATTTTCAAAATGTACATAACATATGACACCGAATCCAAAGATTAACTCATTTTCTCCTATATTGTGTATTATTAGGTAAACAATATGTATTATATGTGTAAAAAATATTTTAAGTATTTTGAAATTAATTCAGGAGTTTTGATATCTATGAAATGACCAAGAACACACAATTCTCAATTAAAAGGCAAAGACAATGAATGTTCTGGTCAGAGACCATTAGATTTATTTTATAACTCATGCTCCTCAGGACAGAAAATGGAATAATTAGTGATGTGGTTGTGGCCTCCTAAGTTCTGATAAGAGAGAATAAATCAGTGATATCAGAACTAAATACTGATCCTTAAGGGTGGTACTTCAGACACACATAAATGTTGCAAGAATATGGTGTTAAAAATAACAGAGATGGCATTTGGGTTGAGCAAGTTGGAAATTTTTTTAAGTTTATTTTTTATTTGGAGAATCAGAAAGTCAACAAAATCAACAGGTCTTCCTTCTTTACTTCCTCCCTTCCTGTTCAGTCATGCACACTCCCAAACAATTCGACATGGGATATGGAACTTAGAGAGACAGAATTTTAACACCCTTCTATAACTAAGTGGATATTTAACACTCATTGAAACTATCAACTTTTAAGGTTTTAATCACTATTTTTAAATAATGCAAATAAAATATAATTTTAGAATTAATAATTATTTTATATTCATATGTGATGACTTTGATTGCAGTCCATTTCCAAGGCATTTATATCCCAGGGATCGTTTGAGCCACAGGACAAATTTTACTTAAATGGCCTTCTTTTCTTACTCTTTGTTAACTTACAAAGGTAGGTCTTCAGGAATGGCAGTGATTATTTGGTGAATCTGTCAAATAGTACTGGATATTTAGACCAAATATGGACCCAGAAAATTTTCCAAAAATTTTCATTGGGAAATAATTTCAGATTTCTGCTAAGAGAACAAACATATCACACTCAATAATTGGGAAGCTAGTTGTTCAATTTGAAACCAGAAGAAAATGGATTTCTAAACTACTTTTTCTTTTCATTTATCTCTGATAGTATTTCTTAATGTTCAAGTGTGGTTTTTAAAATACGCCCAATAATACACCATTGTTTTATCTCTAGTGAATGAAAATAATCATCTGGTACTGAGAAAGTCAAATTCACGGTAAACGAGCATTTGCAACATAGTTCAAGTTCTTAGGAAATTCAGATATCACATTTTTAACATTAGACATTATGAAATCATAGCATAAGTGGTTTAATTAATAATTAATAAGGGAGGTGGTGGGGAACAAGAAGCACATGGAATTCACTAATCTGCAGAAGTTCTGAAATCCAGCAGGGAAATATTTAGGTTCCTTGACTAAGACACAGCCCTAATCCTGCCCAAAATTTATTCTCCATGACTCTTAGCTTCTCTACTGGACTCTTAGTTCTGTCCTTTGAGTCATCTCTTCTTTTCTTATGAAAGTTAACATATTTTCAGCACTGTAATTTTCTTAGCTTGCTTTGTGCCAGTAGAATTATAGGGCTCAAAATTCTGTTTCTATTTTGTACTTTCTTTGTAAATTTCATTACAAACTGGTCGCATTTCTGCTGATGTAATTCTTTTAGAAACTTTTCGGATACCCTGTGAATTTTACTGGGGTTCACTCAATTAGAAGACAGCCACACCCACTAATCTCTTAGAAATAAGTCTTCCTCTGCCTTTGGCTTCTGCTGAGATGACAACACCCTTAGCTTTTCAGAACCTTAGTATTTATTGGGAAGTTAATGAGGCATACCCTTAAACTGTAGAAGTCCACTTCTCTGATCGAAGGGTACTGTTAGTAAATTCTTTTTATTTTCCTGAGATCCTAACAAATAATTTTACTCTCACATCTTTGTCTTTACCTTTAAGTCATGCTTTCCTGAGAGTGCCCTGGAGTTAAGCTTTGCTAAGAAGCCATTTTTTACTTTTAACATCATTTGCCAGGCTAGGAATCTTCAAAACTAGCAAGGTCTGCCTCCTTTTTAAGAGTCCATTATTTAGCAGGTCTTTTTTTCTCTTGCATTTTACTGTAAGCATCAAGAAGTACTAATCTTTAATACTTGAGCCAGAAATCTACCTAGTAGTGCACCCAGCTCATTAAGTCTATTTTCTACCTTCACCTTACTGCAGACAACAACTATGCCAGCTTTCTTCCACTCTATAACAAGGATCCCTCTTTCCTCCCATTTCCAGTAAGATTTTCCCCCTTTCCTTTAAGCCTTCACCAGCTACCTCCTTACCTCAAAATTTCTATGAACAGACTAGACTGTTCAAGGCAATTTAGTCTTTCGAGCTGTCCTTCTTGATGTTCCTTGGTTCCAAAGCCACTCCCGTACTTTATATTTTATCTTGCACAGTTCCTGAGATCAAGAATCTAGGAACAACTTAGCTGAATGGTTCTGTTACAAGTTTTTTTCTCATGAGGTTGTAGTCAAGATCTCAGCCAGGATTGTAGTCATCTGAAGGCTTAACTGGGCTGCAGATTTGGCTCTAATCTAACTCATGTAGCTGTTGGCAGGAGGCCTCAACTCCTCCTGGCTATTGACCTCAGTTCCTCAACATGTGGGCCTCTCCATGGGGCACCGTATGGCATAGCTGCTGGCTTCCTCAGAGAAAATGATCCAAGAAAAGAGAAACAAAGATAGAAGCTGAAATGTCTTTAATATCCTCTCAGAAGTGACATACCATCACTTCTGAGTATACAGACCAATCCTGATACGATATGGGATAGGACTATACAAGGGTACAAAGATTATGGGGGATATCTTAGAGGATGGTTACCACAGGAATTGAGGATTGCTATTTTACTATAGGGTGGCTTTTGAAAAGACTTGAAGGAAGTGAGAGATTAGCCATAGAAATATCTGGGGTAAAATGTCCCAGCAGATGTAAAGTGCCTTGGAGAAGGCCCATATCTGGTATGTTCAAGGAACAGTAAGAAAATTTGTGTGGCTGGGGCAGAATGGAAACTAATCCAGTAAAAATGTGCTATAAACATATAACTTAATTGTTTCTTAAATCATCATACAGTCGAATTAATACTATTTACTAAGTAGTCTATTATTTTCCCATTAATTTTAAATGACATTTTTAATATACACTAAATTTGTCTATAAAATTATCTATTTCTGAACTGTCTAATTTAGATGAAATTTAAATAGACTTTGGATTTTAGAGTCAATGCTGGAATGAGTTAAAATTTGTGGGACAGATGGCATGGAAGGAATAGCAACACAGTAAGCAAAAAGGACATGAACTTGGGGGGAACATGTGTGTTGGTGATCCCCCAAAATTCATACATTGAAGTCCTAACTGTCACTGTGGCTGTATTTAGAGGTGGGATCACTAAGAAAGTAATTAAAGTTAGATGAGGTCATAGGTTTGGGGCTCTGATTCAATAGAATTAGTTTGCTACATTTACAAGTGAATTTGGCCTAGAAATTATTTTATATGCTAACTTTGTTAGGATTTGGTATTAGAATTATGCTTGTGAGAATTAGAAAACATTTTTCCATTATCCATCTTGTAGAAAAACATAAATTGCATAGATATTATCTATCCCTTAAAGATGTAAAGGATATAAAAGATTTATCTTATATAATAATCTCAGGCTATACATTTTCTGGAGATAATTCTCAATTTCTTCAATGATTATTGATCTATTTATGTCTATTATCTCTTCTTGAGCCAAGTTGGTTATTTAGTTTTCTCTTAGAAAATTTATTTCATCCAAGTTTTCTAATTTAATAGCAAAGGGAAAACTAAAAAACCATGAACATGGAAAAATAAATAAATAAATAAATATATGAGAATGTTCATGGTTATATATCATTTTCTCCCCACATTTTGTATATTTGTGATTTATTTTATCCCATTTAAACTAATAAGTTTTTTCGCCCATTAAAAAATAAGTTCTTGGAATTGTGTATAAATTTTAGTTTTTTACTCTTTAATGCATTCAGTTCATCTTTTGACTTCTTAATTATCTTTCCTACCAACTATCACTATATAACTAGAACTGGACTTTCCAGGCTCACCTCTTACTACACTCCAGCAAGCATATTAAACTCCTGCCACTCCAGACTGCTTCCATTGACCAAACATTTCATATATATTCTACCTGTACCTTAGTTTACAGTGATTCCTTAGCCTCTCTTTTCTCATTATTTCTGCCTTGTGGATCCTCCCAGAGCCACCTCAAAAGCTACTTTCTAATACATAGATTTTGTATCTATAGTGCTCATCTTATTGTCCTGAATATAATTCATGGCATTTCCATCTACCTCTTGAGGAGGCATATAATTCATGGTATTTCCATCTACCACTTAAGGAGGCATGTAGATTTTCTTCATCTTTGTAGCTTCTGTTTTACCAGCACAATGCTTTGTACTAGAAAGAAATCTATAGGGTTGTTGTTCTTCTTCTTCTTGAATTAAATTGGCTAAA